TCCCAGAGACCAAGCACTTGAGCAGTAGCTGAAGCAATTTTGAGTGAAACCAGAAGTTGCTTGTGTGTGCGTAGTGCACGATGCGGATATTGTAACTGGTTCGGGTGGCCAGCGGGCCTTTGAACGGATGCACGGGCGCGGTTTTTGTAACAGGTTCAGGTTTTCTTTGTGGAGTGGTACTCGGAGTGTAGATTTATATAACCTCATATAGATATATTTTTACCAAAAAATAATGGTTTTTATTAGTATTAGTGGATTTGTAATACCTCCCACTCAAAAAGCAAGGTGCCTCCCTCCCTCTTTTATTCTTGACTTTTGTTTCAAGCTCATCCTGCCTCTTTAGGAATTTCTTCAATGTAGACACTGAGTTTATCATTGTTTTCTGCTGATTACTGAGCACATTATCACTGGCAAGCAAGCCCGTAAAGCTTTTTAAAAAAAAAAAAATGTTGGTAAAGATCCTGCAATTAAAGGAATGAAACTTGTTTAAACGTGAGATGATATTATTGCAGCAAGGCAACGAAGGGGTTAATGGAGCCTGCAGATGGTAAAAAAATTAAAGGAATTAAAAAAAAAAAAAATGCTGGGGAGCATTGTGTTATGGCTACACCGGGGTGTGGCACTCGGCTTCACAGACCTGAAGGTGACGGTCCCTGTCGCAAATTAAAATCATGTGGGCTTTGTGATTATTTTTTCCTGCAAGATGGCCTTTCATGTGTAACCACATGCAGTGTGTCAACATGCTATCTGGCGCCATTAGACTCCAGCAGTTTTACTCACCATACTTTCGTGGGCCCTTGGTATTTCTGTTATGCGTCTTCTTAGAATAGCTTCAGGCATTGTGGTGCAGCAGTTTGGACAGCTGGGAAGCGTGCGTTTAACTATTTAATCTCTTACGGTCTTCAAATATTATGCTTCAGTTTTCTTTAAAAAAACCAAAAAACAAAACCCCAACCAAACACCTACCCAAAAGCCTCCAAAAGCAATGCTTATGTTATGCAGCTCTGGCCTCTCTTACACTGCTGCTTGTCTGTAGTTGCAAAGCCAGGCGAGATGAGGCTCTGTTAATATTGGAGCCATCCGTGGAAGAGGCAGGTGGTGGTGGTTTTTCAGGTGGCTATCTTCCCACTAAACTAGCCTAGGGCTATGGTCTTGACTGAGGTGCCATGTTGGGGTGTGGTGTAAAATGGGCGTGTGGGTTATATTATCCCATTATGTTGGTGGGATGACCCATGGAGCAGTGAGGCCTGAGCAGCGGGGTGGTCAGATATGAAAATGGGAAGTATATTCCAGCAGACTCGGGGCCACCTTTGGGAGAATACCTTGTTAGCTCCCCCCTTATTTTGTATAGGGGGGGGGGCACGGGGGTTAAATTAGTGAAGCAAAAAGCACTCAAGACTCTCTCTTTTTCCCCCCTTTCCCTCTTACGGCACGAGAGTTTCTTTGCGTCCTTGGAGGAAGAGGTCAGGGTACAAAACCACTGCTTCCATATGCATGTCATGCAAGGACAGGCTGCCGTTCAGTCGGTTTTTGTATGTATGAGATGCAGAAAAACCCTCTTATGGGCAAGATCTTGATTTCAATTAAGTGTTTGGGGTATTGACAAATCAAACAGCCGGTGAGGGGATTTCAGGCTATCCTGGTGCAGTCGCAAGGCCTTGATTTATAGCTCGGTGTCTAACTGCTCCATCTCGTACAGCGCTGCATTTTGATCATTCCCGCGGCATTTATCTGTGTCAGCAGTATCTACAGTTATGGGACCTCGACTACAAAGACCAATTTTTTTCTAAATAAAATAATCTCTTTGCTCTCGCACATTTGATTTTCCTTTTTAATCAAAGCACTGAGAGCCAAGAGCCCAGAAGCTCCCCAGCTCCCTCCTGTACTCTCCAAACCTTGAAACAATCCAGAACACAAGCTTCAGTCATTTCCTGTAGTGGGTTTTTTTTTAAAGGGAGAGACTCAAAATGTCCAAATCTGCTGCTTTTGAAATTTGTTTCTCTGTTTTCTTTGTTTAAAATGGATCCGCTTAATGTTAAAGATCTAGGCCTTGTTGCGTAGAGGAGAACAATGGAAGCCTCCAGTGGCTTTTCGTCATATTTTACTAATTGGAAATCTCTGGTCGTGGAGAAGTTGTCCACTGAATATAGGACGTGCCCCCTCTGTGGGCACTGCATCCTGATTTTGCAGGGGAACGGCGTCTGATCTAATGAAAAGCATGTTCTCAAGATGAGGTTTGGTATTGCACCAGAGTCGGCAGGTTATCAGGTGGTAACTCGAGCGAAATCATCTTAATTTTTGTGATAGCTTTTTTTAACCATGCTTTAAAACAAGAGTGCCTTGCTTCCAGATAATCCCCTTTCAAAATACATTAGGTTTTATCTGCCCTTTTCAGTTTTTGGCCATGGGATGGATTAGGGTTTTATGGCTCTCTGTGTTGTGAAACATGGATTTTGAAGGCTTTCCTCCTGGACTAGGAGACACGGTTGTGCCTTTTAATCACCCGGAGAAGGATAATTTGGCAAACGTGTTCCTGACTATTTTGCTGGACTTTGAGAACAGCGTGGCGGCGAGCCAGAGAGAATCTGCTCCTTTGCCAATCTCTTTCGTAATCTTTAGCGCACGCGGGCCTATCAAATGACTTTCTAATTTTTTGCCTGAAGATCGGTTTGTTTAATTTTGACATCTGTTGGTTGCTAAGGAAAAAGGCTATGGCTTTTTTTTGTGGGTTTTTTTTTTTTTAACAGGCTGCTTTGTTTTACTGGAGACAAAACTTCACAGCTGATCAAAACGTTCTTGCCACAGCATAGCTATTTAAAATGTTTTAAATTTTGCATCTTCCAAGAATTATACAACGTGGGGGGGAAAAGAAGTACAAGTACACAAATGATAAACAGATCGGGAGGAAACGACGGATCCCATCCAAGCTAATGGGGCAAGACTCCTGCAACCACAAACCGTGCTGCAGTCCCTTGCACGCCGAGCAAAATCAGTGCCATTGCGAAATGGTGACCTTATACTACTAAAGTAAAGGGAATTGGTGCTTATTATTTCTGCAGTGGAGTGAAGGTTTTATTCTCCTTATTTTGTGGTGTTGACCCTTATCATTAGAGTCTCCCCTATGACCCCATCTTCCCGTGAAAAAGAGGAGAAAATCAGCCATAGAAATTGCAAAAATAACAGGAAAATTTCAAGATGAGATGGTGCCATTTGCTAGAAATTGTAGACATGTCGCTACCCTTTCAGAGAATAGGCTTAGATGCGACGGAGGGATTCGTCATGAGTATCTTAGTCATGCACAGAGCTGTTGAAATCTGCCAAGTGGCTATTTTTTTATTGGCAAACAAGCGTGTGTATGTGCATGTGCACAGGTATACATGCATATGTACAGAGCAAGAGATGACATGAAAATTATTGGCATTAAAAGTGAAACAGAATTTAAACTAGCAGTGCTTAAATAATTGCAGTCTTTTAGACTATTAATCACTTGTTTTATCTTAATCCCTTGAGAACTAGTTACGTACCAGATGTCTGTAGAGCTTGGTGCTGTACCAGCCAAAGAAAGAGCTTACCGCTGAGTCACTTAAAAACCTTTAGGTCATTTTCTTGCATCTAAATACTGCATGTAACCAAGCTGATCTAACTGGGGGTGAATCAGGATAATATCATGCCCTTGACACAGCCTTTGTTGAGTATTAATTAAGGAGCGTCTTTTAAAATGCATATAAGGATTGAATTTACATGACACCCTTTGAGCCAAAATGGAAACAAAACTCATTCCTTCACTTGACTAGTTTTAAAATAAAAATGACTGACCCAGCCAAACACCCACTGGGAGGGATGAGCTCAGAAAAATGATTCGGGGATTTTAGGGTTGTGGCTGAGCATGTATTTATTTCTTTATTTTTGTTTTATTTTTTGTATCTTCTTGCCTTTGAGCAGATCTTCAGTGTTTGAAGAAGATAGAATAGGGGGGAGGGATATTAGGGGAACTTCACTAACATTTCAGCTTCCAAAAAGTCATACAACCTTCAAAATAGATATATGCTGAAATTCATACATACCGTACTATATGTCTGGTAAGTACAAATATATGAGGCTACTTTGGGAGATATTGGGGAACAAGGGACATGGTCAAAGAAGCATCATGTGATATATCTCAGAATAACAGTAAAACATGCAAAATGTGGTAATGCTTCATTTCTTCCCCACAGCTTGACCCAGTGAGGATGATGTCTGGGGAAGTCCTGGATTCCTGAATAAGGGTGGGATGGGCATAATCCCTTGGTGTCTCCTCAGTAGGGAATAATTTGTATTGACTGGATAATTAACTCTCGCACAGATGTCATTGTATTGTAGAAATGTTTGTATTTCAACTCCGTTCCTCCAGAGGCAATTCCAGTTAGTGAACAAAATAAAGATGAATGTAGCTAATAGTGCTTTAATGTAGGTTGCCTGACCACAGTGGAGCAGCGATGCTTTGGACTGATAGGGGTGAGGAATCTCGGTTACGTTGCTTAATGCGCTGCTATAACACACTCTCATATTAGGGTGGTGAGCATGGTATGAGATCCAGCATAGAACAGAATAACTGCATAAGGACGGCCTAAAACGGGCACCTAGGCATGGGTCCAGGAACATCCCTAGTCTCGTTAGAAGCAGGCTCAGAGCTAGCAGTGACTTTAACCTTCCCCATCCAGCGGAGAGTGGTAATATTGTGCTGTCATTGTTGTGGGCACCAAAGTAATTGGAGGTTTACTGATTACTGTAGATAAGAATCGTCTGTCTGTGGGCAAGGCTTTCACAGTGCTGTAGCAGCGACTATCAGTCTTGCATTTTCACAGGCAGCAGCGCGCACAAAGTTTAGAAGGGAAAGGATTCGTAGGGGTACGTGCAGGCTGTTCTTCTAGTGCCGTGTCTGCAGAACATATTCAACTAATCATTTCAGTCTGCTTTACCTAAAGTCTGGTCTCCCTCTTTCCTTCTTGCCTTGTCTGTAGGAAGGATCAGAACGTCCTCTCGCCGGTCAACTGCTGGAATCTCCTCTTAAACCAGGTGAAGCGAGAGAGCAGGGATCACACCACCCTGAGCGACATCTACCTGAACAACATCATCCCTCGGTTTGTCCAGGTCAGCGAAGACTCTGGACGACTCTTCAAGAAGGTAACCGAGCACTACAGTTAATGCATCGTTTGCTTGGCCCTCCAGAAGAGTAAAACCTCAGGTGTCTCATCTGCTGTGACTCACTGCCAGCTTGACTTAGCACACTGTCTTCTGCTAACACATCCCTTTTCATCACAGCCAGCTATAATTTGCTTGCCTTTTAAACCTTTGGGTATTTACGCTCTCTTGATTTGGTGGCTTAAGGATTCTCCTGGAAATAATCTGAGATTCATAAATCCTAGATGGGGATTGGCTCTCTCTAGTTTACCTATTTATAAAAACTGTGCCTCCCTTATTTTAAGGTGCGTGGTTTTCCAAACGAAAGGTTTAGACCTTTTTCTTCAATCCCCAAAAATAACTGTCCGAGAACTACTTTACTTAAAAACAGCCATCCAGTCGCAAACCCCTGAGATTTCTAGTAAGAAACCCATGTTGGTTTTCCATCTTGTCAAATAAAGAAGGAAACTAATTTCTTAAATTGCGTGTCTGAATGTTCCTCTGAAAACCAAAGAAGAAAAAATGTAAAAGAGCCTTTTGGAAGAGCCTATTTTCAGGACATTGGTTTGGGCAGGGGTCTGAAGTGGTTTATATTTATTAAGGATTTATAGTTTTCCAGTTGATGAAACCTGATGTAGAAGCTTTGGAAAAACAGCTCTATTAGACAATAATGAATTAGTCTCTTTTGAGATTTCTTGATGGTTGCACCATCTGGTGGCTAACGTTAAAGCCATTTCAAGTTTTAAAACATTGTCCGTCTCTTGGTTGTCTCAATTCTGGAGAGAGGTTTTTTTTCCCCATTGTAATAATGTCAAGAGAAACGGTTGCAAGGTTTCTGATGACTATCTAACTGCCCAGGCACTCATCCTACACAGTAGCACGACACCTATAAGATATGGCTGAGGGCAGCTTTGACCATTCTTTTGGTTTTCACGTTTGCCACTTGCTGTCTGTGGTCTCAGTTTCAGTTGTGCTAAAATCATTGTCACGGGTATTGTGTTTGTGACTTTAAAATTAAAATCTCTTTGGGTGAAATCTTGACAGTAATTGGAGGCCTCATCAGCTTCTCGCTGTGGTCTTGACAGCTGCTTGAAATGTCTTGAGAGAAAGTGTACAGATACTCTAAGCATCCATACCCTGTTTTTAAGTGATGAAGAGGCTCCATGCAAGGCACTAAGATGCAGACTAACTACTCTAAAATGAGCAGGGCTCGCTGTTATACATATCATTTTGTGTTAAGAAATGCACTTGAAGGAGATAGAAATCTTGTGCCCTAATGGTTGGGAAACACAGTTTTCATTGGTCTCTTTTTATAGCAGCTTTCTGAGGATGGTGGCAGCAGATTGTCCAATGTGATCGAGTGGAGACGAATGAGAGCGTGTGTAGCATTGGGTCCCCTTTTGGTCTGTGCGCATCTCCTGAGCGTTAATGGAATTGCAGCAACGTGGGGGGAGCAAGTAATACTACGCAGAAAATTTAAGTATATGAATGGTGTACATGAATGACCATGTATAGAATTGTACAGAAATGTACAGAATTGGTCTTCTGTCCTTGCTGACCTTTTAAAGTCCTTTATACGTGTTGGGGGCTTTCTGAGTAGAGGCGGGATCTTTATTCTTGGGGGTAATATCACAGCAAGACCTTTTTCTGACATTTTAAAACTTTTCAGTAATTAAGTTACCATTTATTCGGTACTTACATGGGCTTATTGAATAGCAGCCACTCTTTCAATTCCCTTAATCCTTCCAGAGGATAAGTAATCTCTGCCCTCTGGGTTGTGCGGGGAGCAGGGTGGCTGGGAAAATGCCTGACTGAGGAAGCTCATGGAGCTGATAAACTTTCTGGTTTGGCTGGAAATTAATGTTCTCACTTTCACTCCCCTCCTCCTTGAAATGAGCTTGATCTTATCCGATTTTATTTCAGCTTGATCAGCGGGAATTGCCGTTGTTTTGAAACTCTGATTCGTTTCTCCCAGACTGAATAGCTTCTCATAGATGTGTGTAGGGAGGAGTCCCCTGTCAAAAATCAAGTAGTTTGTCTCGTTACTGAGTCCACCCAGCTTGCCAAGCTGGCTGAGTGCCAGGGCAGGTATGTGATGAAACCCCTTGGGCTGATGCTGAGTTGCTAGGAGGAAAACTTGCGTCTCGGGAACCTTTTTCCTCTGCAAGATGGTAAGTGCCAGCTGGGAGAGATGGCACTGAACTCGGAGCCTCTTAATTGGAATGTCTCTACTTCCTGAGCCACAGTCAAGCTGACAAGTATAAATGGTACAAAAATTACCGGTAAGGCCTAGAAATAAAAGTACTTGAAGAACAGATTTTTTCATGTAAGCTGTAAAAGGTTTAGCTGCTCAACAGCTAAGCACAGAATCGTGGAGTTCAGCTGCACACTCATTTAAAGATGCAGCATTTCTGTAACCAGTCGCACCGAATGCGTATCGAGCCCTTCTCGGATATGAAGTGCTGAACGAACGATTCGAACGGCTGTGTGCAGCGGAGGCAAGAGGCAGCCTGGTTTTTAGATTGGTAGGGAAATGGAGGCACTCAAGTGAAATTTGGCAGGTCATAGCTGGAGCCAGGAGACCTTTCTGACCTCCATAGTTTGTTCTTCCAGCTCATTTTGCTTCTATTTCCTGGGCTTTGGAAAGGGAAGCAAGGACTTGAATGCAGTTGTGGTTCTCAGAAACACTTTTAAGTGCAACACGGTCTGAACCCTTCCACGGGTTATACGTGCACTGCATTGATTGATGTGAACAGATTGTCTTTTTTTTATCATCTGATGCTTGAGTGGAGGTAGCTTTTTCCACTTTAAGGTGCTGGGAGTAGTGGTTACCACAGGGGAATGTGACAGCTCTGAAAGCCAGTCTCCTTTGAGCAGTTTTGAAACAAGTCTGGGTTTCTTGGGGGGGTTTTTTCTTGAGGAGCTGCATGATGGATGAAGCTACCTTGACAGTGTCTTGAGGTTTGCTTGGTGAAGTCATTTAGTGAAAGTGTTTTGGCCTACGGGTGTTCAATTTTTAAAAAATGTTAATGCAATTTTAAGTGTACCGGTTAGAAATTGTGGCCTTCGGGACAACGCTACTACACCCTCTCCATTAGGAGGTGGCTGTCCTTTTCTCCAGGCCTGGGACAGAGTAACGCAGTAAGCCTGGGACGTAAGCAGGAACGACGAGTTTACCGCTCAGACGCAATGAGGAGCGGCTCGTTAGGAAGCCCTGCAAAGCAAGTTCGTTTCTACCTCCAGACATCCACTGTCTGTATGCGTGCGTGGATGTACACTTCCAATCTGAGCTAAACTGTACGTATCATTTAATGCAGTCTCATGGGAAAATTCTTGCTGCTACTTGTAGAAATGTTTTCAGCTTGCCTCTGTATCTTGAGGTTGTGAAAATTCATTTTTTTCCCCCGCTTTCCTCTGGAAAATGTCCTAACATTTTTCTTAGTGCTTAATGAGAGAGTAAGTTTTTTGTTTTTTAAACTATAGCATTTTTTTGGACTCTGGCTATCTGTGGAGAAACTTTTAGGCCCAGGAGTGTGCCGAAGGAAGTGCTCCAGGTGCCCTTTAAGGTGGTGGAAACAGAAGCCTGTGCCTTGAACTTCTGATGGAGGTTGAAGTCAGGACTTGGGCACTATGTATAATTTAGGGCTTTATAACCAGCACCGTGTACTGTACAAACTGTCAAACAGTGGAGGGCCTCAAGCGCAGACACGATCAATTTAGGATGCCTCCCCTCCGCGGAGGCACAAGCCTCTGCGTTCTGCGCTGGCTGAAGCACCGAGCCCTTTTGAAGTGTAGAGCACGCTGCGCTAATCTAGCCTTAGGGCTACAGAGGGCTGAATGGCTGCGATGAGGTCTGTGTTGGAAAGAAACCGAGACATGGGAGGAGGAACTTTGTCACAGCTGCGGTCTGTGAACCCTGGAGCAGAAGCAGACCCGGCGCGAAAGGACCTAGTCTTGCTACGGAGCCGTTGACTGAAAGAGCAGCTGGAACATTTTAGGAAACGTGGACTTCAAGTGTCCAGCTGCTGGAAGTAGGTAACACAGCCGTTCGGCAGAAACCCTTTAGGCCACGACCAATTCTTCTGTGTTGCGCTCCAAGCCCCTTTGTTACGGAGGGAAGGTGTTAGAAGAAGGGTGCAGCGTTGCAAACCGTCAAGCACTGGCATGTTTTTCTTTAACATCAATTAACTTCTGAAATTCCAGTAGTGATTATGCTCGAGTTGCACGTAGGGTTTCAGACAGCTGCTGCTTTCAGCCTGCAGTGTTGGGCTTTGCTGTGTGTCATAGGAGCACTGCGCAGTCTGGCCTTATCTAATTAAGTTTTTCTGTCAGTGTCTTATGATGAAGAGATCCCTTTTCAGGGCTGTTATATGATGTGAAGGGCCTTATTTGTTTGAGTAGTAGATGGAAGCTTGCCAGCCACTTCAAAGGTACCTTTGCTGATAAGGGGAGTTGGGTTGGCTGCCAAAGCCAACATTCGAGTGGTGTCAGACGTACAATGTATTGCTAGTGTTTCTCACTGGCTCTCTGTCCTGTTTACTGCCTTGCTGGGGCTCCCTATAGAAAGTTTAAACACCGAGTGCCAAGGTGTCGTGTCTGTTCGCAGCGAGGGTGGTCCCGGACCCTGTTGGGAAGCAAATGCATCTAGCCAGGAGCAAAGAAAGGAAATGATGCAAAAACCAAGGGAGGCAAAATTCCTTTAGCTATGAAAAGTTGAGCTCTTCTAACTAAGAGCTCGTCGTAGTTTACCATGGACCTGTCTATGTGGACTGCTTCAGCAAAATGAGGAGACACTAAAAAGTGCTCCTCTCTTTACCTTTCCACGCTCAAGCGTTGGGCCTCTAGATCAACTAGCGCTAGCACCTGCCAGTATTTGGGTGCTAATCTTTTCCCAAGGCAGGAGGAGCATGTCGGAGGAAAGAGCAGAGCTGGGGAAAGGTGGGGTAAGTAGCCATGGGCAGAGAGGCCATGAAAGGTCCATGTTGGAGGGGGACCAATAAAAG